CGGGGGTTGCTATCTTTGATCTGGATTATGATGCTATTCTTGCTGCAATGTATGTTGTGTCTACTAGTGATGAGGGTGACTGTTACCTGTGTGTTCCGCCTGACCCGGGCATTGAGGCTGCTGCTCTAGGTGCTGGTGAGGCTGCTGCTCTAGGTGCTAGAGAGTCTGGTGCCCCAGGTGCTGGTGAGTCTGCTCTCTCAGGTACCACGTCGGCTCAGGCCGTGCACACTTTCACCCTTGACTCGGGTGCTTCCCGCTCTTTCTTCCGAGACCGCACCACGCTTACGCCGCTTAGTCGGCCGGTTGCGGTCTCCCTGGCGGACCCCTCTGGGGATCCTGTCCTTGCCCACTTCTCCACTGTCTTACCGTGTCCGGCGGCCCCCTCTGGCACCCTGTCAGGTCTCTACCTCCCCTCGTTCTCTACGAACTTGGTGAGTGGTGCTGATCTACAGGATGGGGGGGTTGACCAGTTCACTCCTGCGAGTCAGCGGGTGACCCACTGTACGTGTGCTCGGACAGGCCGACACTTGGCCACGTTTACCCGTCAGCCGGGGTCGAGCCTGTACACACTGACTACTGAGTCTCCTCCGGTAGCTGAGTCTGGTCAGGTAGCCGCGTCGGGTCAGGTGTTTGCTGCAGCGTCCAGGACTGGTCCTGAGTCTGCTCCCTGCTCGTGTCGTCTCCTGTCCCACCGGACTCTCCTCTGGCACCACCGCCTTGGTCACCCCTCCCTGCCTCGTCTCCGAGGCATGGCCTCTCGTTACCTTGTCTCTGGTCTTCCCCGGTCCCTCCCTCTCCTCCCTCCGGGGCCTGCCCCTACCTGCGTTCCCTGCGTCGAGGGGCGGCAGCGCACCGCTCCTCACTCCTCCGAGTTTCCTCCGACCGAGGCTCCGCTGCAGACTCTTCACATGGACGTGTGGGGCCCCGCCCGCGTCCGTGGCCAGGGTCACGAGCGTTACTTCCTGTTGGTGGTTGACGACTACTCGCGTTACACCACGGTGTTCCCCTTGCGCAGCAAGGGTGACGTCACTGAGGTGTTGATCGACTGGATCCGCGCAGCTCGTCTCCAGCTCAGAGAGAGTTTCGGCTCGGACTTTCCTGTTTTGCGTCTGCACTCTGACAGAGGCGGGGAGTTTTCCTCTGGCCTTCTAGGAGCCTTCTGTCGTGCACAGGGCATCCGCCAGACGTTCACGCTTTTGGCCTCTCCACAGCAAAATGGGATTGCTGAGCGCCGCATTGGCATGGTCATGGACGTTGCTCGTACGTCCATGATCCATGCGGCTGCTCCCCATTTTCTGTGGCCGTTTGCGGTTCAGTACGCTGCGCATCAGATCAACCTTCAGCCTCGGGTCTCCTTGCCAGAGACCTCCCCCACCTTGCGGTGGACAGGGAAGGTTGGCGATGCGTCTGCGTTTCGTGTCTGGGGATCTCGGGCGTTTGTTCGCGACTTGTCTGCGGACAAGCTGTCCCCTAGTGCTGTTCCCTGCGTCTTCCTTGGCTTCCCCCCTGACGCGCCTGGCTGGCAGTTTTACCACCCCACCTCGCGCCGTGTTCTGTCCTCCCCCCGCCGCCGCTCTTCCTTGCACCAGGTCCCCCCCCGGTAGACCCTCTCCCCCCTCAGGGTCCTGCCCCGTCAGGTGTGTCCCAGATAGACGCAGTCGAGCCTGTCGAGGTAGCTGTTGACTCTGGTGCTGCTAGGGGTGCTGAGCCTGCGGGTGCGGGGTCTAGGGGTGCTGAGCCTGGGGGTGCTGAGCCTGGGGGTGCGGAGCCTGGGGGAGCGGAGCCTGGGGGTGCAGAGCCCGGGGGTGCTGGGTCTCCTCGTGTGGCCTCTGGCGGTGCTGGGTCTGGGGGTCCTTCGGGTACTTTGTCTCGGCGGGAGCTACCCTCTCCACAGGAGCTGCGCGAGTGGTTTGCCAGGCGTTGGAGCCATGCTGCTGGTGCTGGAGGTGCTGCTGTTGCTGTTGACCCTGGGGTCGGCGCTGGAGGTACTGGAGCCACTGGTCCTGGAGGTGCTCGTACTTGCGGTTCTGGAGCTGCTGGGACTGGGGGTGCTGCTGAGGCTGCTGGAGTTGGTCCTGCTGGTGGTGCTGCTGGAGGTACTGGAGCTGCTGGTGCTTCTGAAAGTGCTGGAGTTGGCGCTGCTGGAGCTGGAGGTGCTGCTGGCGCTGGTGCTGCCGCTGGGGGTGCTGGTGCTGTCCCTGCTGTTTCCGGAGGCGCTGCGCGGCCGCGGCCGTACTTCGTTCCGCTCCTTGAGCAGGTTCTTGGTCTCCCGCCTTCTACTGGTCCTCCTCCTCTCTTAGAGTGTCCACAGCCTGTCCAGTCCGAGTCACAGTTACAGCCCGCCTCCCCACTGACGGCTCCTTCTCCCTACACTGGTCCTACTGGAGGTCTTGCTGAGCGTCGTGAGCCTGCGTCTCGTCCTGCGTCGCCTGTTCGTGCTCTTCGCGCTAGTCGTCGTGTTCCGCGTCAGCGTCCTCCTGCGGTCCCGGGCACGCACCAGATGGCACTGCGTCCTTCCACTGCTCCGCGGCGTGTCCCTTTGCCGTCTCCTCCAGAGTCCTCTCTTCCTGCTCTTGCTGACCCGGAGTCTGACTCTCTTCGTGCTGCCAGTCCTACTGTCACGCGTCTCCTGGCTACTGTCGTCACTGACCCTTCCTTTGAGTCCACTGCTGCGTCTGCCTTAGTTGCTGAGCTTGTCGACTTCACTGCTCACTGTCGTCTAGACTACGCCGCTAGTCTTGTTGCTGAGTCTGAGTCTGTCTGTCCTCCGTCCGTCGGGGGTGAGTGTGCTCTTAGCACGGACGTCCTTGAGGACAGGCAGGAGGAGTTCCAGAGTTTTGCTGCTGCTTTGCCTCATCTCGTGTCCATGCTGATTGCCCCTGAGGGAGACCCGGATGCACCAGACATCCCGACTCCTCGATCGTACGCTGAGGCGATCGAGGGTCCCTACTCCTCACAGTGGCAGTCAGCCATGGACGCAAAGATGGCTTCCTGGAAGTCCACAGGCACCTACGTCGACGAGGTTCCCCCACCTAGGGCGAACATCGTCAATGGCATGTGGATTCTCAGGGTGAAGCGGCCGCCTGGTTCTCCGCCTGTCTTCAAGGCGCGTTACGTGGCTCGAGGCTTCAATCAGCGGCAGGGAGTTGTCTACTTTCAGACCTTCTCTCCCACCCCGAAGATGACCACTCTTCGGGTGCTGCTGCACATAGCCGCTCAGCGTGACTACGAGCTTCACTCTCTTGACTTCAGCACAGCTTTCTTGCAGGGCAGCCTGCACGAGGAGATCTGGCTGCGCCGCCCAACTGGCTTCACTGGGTCGTTTCCTCCTGGTACCCAGTGGAGCCTCCGGCGGCCAGTCTACGGTCTCCGCCAGGTGCCTCGTGAGTGGCACGACACACTGAGGACTACACTTGCGGCTCTTGGGTTTGCTCCTGCTACTGCCGACCCGTCGCTGTTTCTACGCACCGACACCTCTTTGCCGCCGTTCTACATCCTCGTGTACGTCGACGACTTGGTCTTTGCCACTGCTGACACTGCTGGACTCGCCCACGTGAAGTCCGAGCTGCAGAAGAGACACACGTGCACAGACATGGGTGAACTGCGCAGCTACCTTGGCTTGCAGATCACCCGGGACAGAGCACAGCGCACCATCACCCTGACTCAGTCACACATGGTGCAGCAGGTCCTTCAGCGCTTCGACTTCACGTACTCCTCGCCTCAGGCCACTCCTCTGTCTACTCGCCACTCGCTCTCAGCTCTGCCTTCGGATGAGTCCGTAGAGTCGAGTGGCCCGTACCCAGAGCTTGTTGCATACCCTCTTAGCATCCTGGCACACTATGTTGCTCCTGGGAGACACCGACCAGAGCACATGGCTGCAGCGAAGAGGGTGTTGCGCTACTTGTGCAGTACCTCGGGCATGGGGCTAGTGCTTGGAGGGCGGCGTTCAGTGGTCCTCACAGGTCACGCAGACGCTTCTTGGGCTGACGACCAGGCTACGCAGCGGTCGTCACAGGGTTACACCTTCAGTCTTGGTTCCGGCTCCATTTCGTGGCGGTCTACCCGCTCGTCTTCTGTTCTCGGCTCCAGCTGTGAGGCCGAGATCTACGCAGGGGCCATGGCTGCACAGGAGTTACGCTGGCTCACCTACCTACTGACCGACCTGGGAGAGCCGCCTCGTTCTCCTCCAGTTCTGTACGAAGACAACAAGGCCATGCTGGCCTTGTGTCGGGAGCACAGACTGGAGCACAGAACGAAGCACACTGCTCTTCGCTACTTCCTTGCTCGTGAGCTACAGCAGCGTGGTCAGCTGCGCCTTGCTTACGTGGCCTCTCAGGCCAACACTGCTGATATCTTTACCAAGGCACTTCAGCCTTGTGATCATCAACGCTTTTATACGATGTTAGGTCTTGTGACTACTTGGCCTCACTTGCTCACTTCTTGACCTTGCTTGTACTGTGATCTATATATACCTACACTTGCTTGTTCACCTTTATATATACTCCTGCATGTGAACTGGCCTTGTGGCCTTGACCTTGTGCTCGGACTGTGTGGTGACGTTGTGATCCACCCTGAGCGTGTTTGCTTTGCTCTTCTTGACTGGTCTTGTGACCCCTAGTTCTCCCCCACTTTGCCTATGGGGGTGTGTCAGATATATATGACTTAGCTGATGTAGGCTATAGGGGGGTAGCACATATGGGGTACACATTTCTAGGGTTTGTACTTGTACCCAACTTTTCCCTTAGTCATTCATTCCTTGTAATTCTCACATTCCTGTCGCCATTTTTCGCGCGCCGTGGCTTACCAGTGTGACCCCCGCCAATAATTTCTTCTCCGGCGGGTTACCACAAGGTCCTGCTGCGTACGCGGCGACTTCGCGAAGGACTCTGGGCTGATCCCTGCTGCCCTCGCGACACTGGCATACCTTGAAGAGATACATTTGAACTCGAATCGGCTATCCGGGAAAATTCCCCGGGGCCTCGCCAGTTTACCCCATCTTCATGACTTGGACCTCGAAGCAAACGCTCTTACAGGTGAGCTGCTTGGAAAACTCTCACTGTTTCCTTCCGATTTGCTTTCTGTTCTCTCTCCGCACCCCTCAGGCCCCATCCCCGCCTTCTTTCTCCAGCCCCCTCGCCTACAGTACAATGCCCTCTCTGGCCCGCCACCCCCCTGTCTCTCCCTCCTGCTCCGTCTCTCTCCTCCCGATCCTGCACCCCTTGCTGCAATCACTTCTCCGCTTGAATTGATTCTTCGTGTCTCCCTTCTCTATCCCTGTGCTTGTGCCTTCGTCCCAACCCCCACCCCCCAGGCCCCATCCCCGCCTTCTGCCAGGCCCAGCAGCAGCTCACCATCCTCAATCTCGCCTCCAACGCCCTCTCCGGCCCGCCCACCCCGCTCTCCTCCCCCTCCTGCTCCGCCTCCCTTCAGGCCCTCTACCTCTCCTCCAACCGCCTCTCCGGCCCCATCCCCGCTACAATCAGCTCCTTGAGAAGCCTCACGCGCCCCCGCCTCGATAACAACGCCCTCACGGGACCGATCCCAGCCGGGGTGAGAAAGATGGGGATGTTACAGAGGCTAGGGCTGTCATATAACAGGCTGTCAGGTGTCATTCCCGCGGTTTGGCCGCCAAGGCTATGGCAAGTAAAGCTGGCAGGGAACCGGCTGAGAGGGGCTGTTCCGGCTGCTCTGAGCAAGCTGAATAGAGGCTCGTTCAAACCAGGGAACCCCAACCTGTGCGGGAAGCCGCTGCCTGCTTGTGCTTAGAACAATCCCTGCTTGTGCATACGGTATGATCACCCCAACTAATACAGTATATCTAATTAAATGTACAGTATGTTCTAAACTATTCATAAACCATGTTTGACCGGTGATGCATGCTGTAAACAAGCTGCAAAGAAGCTCCTTCAAATCAGGCAGCTACAGCTTGCAAAGAGCACTGCTGAAAAAGAAGGCCTTCAAGGTAGGTAACTACTGGTAGGTACCTGCTTCTCAGGCCAAAAGCGAGCTTCGTCGAGCAAAACCCCTGCGTGCTAGTTGAAAGGTGGAAATATGGCGCAGTATGTAGTATTGTCAAAAGTTGTAGAAATTACAATGAAAGCTAACCTCCAAACTAACTTCCCCCCTGTCCAAGCGTCTCAAGGCTGCCCAATTATACACTGAAGCAGCAACAGGGCCACCTCTCACTCCAGCATCTCCCCCCACATCCCCTGCTTCCCCCGCTATTCTGCGGCCACTTGTGCACCTCCCGGCATTGCTGCGGCCAATCAAGACTATCCCTGTCCCTCGTCCCTACCTTCCGCAACCGCCCTACCCATTTCTTCCCCCATGCCCTCCCCCTTTCACCAGTCTGCTCCTCCTCCCACTATCTCTCGTTCCAGATTGGGCCATCCAAATCCGGACCGAACGCCCAGCCCAGGCAGGCGGCTCCAGGTTCGGGAGAACGCCGGAGCTGGCAGCTAGGGACGGCATGGTCCACACAGCACAGGGCACCCAGTTAGCCGAGCCGCAACCCTCCACCTCTTGCCTGGAAGGTTCTTTTCATCATGAAACAATCTCTTCCCACCTGCCCCCATTCCCTACATCACTCTGCTGCCTCTTCCTCCGCTCCCCTTTTCCCGGCTTCCTGTTTTCTGATCTTCCCGTTCCCTGTCTCTTCTTTTGCCCCCTCTCCCACACTCCCCTCCTTTACCATCCCCTGTATGACTCGACCCGGTATTAGTCCGTCCCCACCCCACAACCACAACCTGTCCCTTCCCCTTGCTACTCGCCCTCCTGAACCCTCAAGTTCATCTTGCCGACTGCAGCAGGGCAGTTGGAGCTCCCTCACTCCCTACTCCCTCACTCTCCTCCCTCCTACTCTCCCTCCCTCACTTCCTATCTCATGTCCGTCTCTCCAACCACCATCCCCATCCATCAAGCTCACCTCAGCGACAGCCAGTCACAGCACTGGCTGCTGGGGCAGGCGATTGTGGGCAAGGGCTCGAGATGGAAAGGGAGAAGGGTGACAGGGAAGGGTGCTGCAGCAGCAGGGCAGCTGCAGCAAGCGATTAATTCTCCTGATCCCCCCCCCCTCTCCTCTCTCACTGCCCTCCTGCACTCTCCTCCCGCACTCTCCTCCCTCCCTACTCTCCCATCCCTCACTTTCTGTCTCCTGTCCTTCTCCCTAACCACCATCCCTATCCATCACTCTCACTTGAGTGAATGACAGCCAGTCATAGCATTGCCGCTGCGGCATCTTTCCCTTTCTCTCCTCACTCCTGACCTCCCTCCTCTTTTCCCTTCCTTTCCCTTTCCCCCTCGTGCTCTGACCCTCTCTCTCTCCCCAACCACCATGCAATTCCATCGCTCTCACCTGAGTGAGTGACAGCCAGTAATAGCATGGCCGCTGCAGCACCTTTCCCCCTTATGTCATGAACCTACACGCAGCAGGCAGGGCACGGAAGAGGGGGAGAAGCGAGTAATCTATATTTCCATTGCTTCAATTTTAAGTGACACATGACCAGCACAGAACCCAGGAAAAAGGAAATGAATAAATAAAATAAAGGAAATAAAAGGAACGCTTTTCATATGCGCACGGCTACATGTGGCGAATCGGACATGCCGAGTATTTGTGTGTGGTTGGGTTGAGCCCAGGCTGACTGACCGACCTAACGATGACTACCACACACGTCACGACCTGCTGCACTCACCGCACAGAACCTCTTCACACTCACTCGCATGGCGCAAGGCTACCTGGCGCATCTGACATGGCGCCATGCGCGTGTATATCACTCGTGAAAGTTCCCAAAGGCGATAGGGGGTTGGGGATGATAGGATGGGACGTCGCAGCATGCATTGGTTTTGAATAGGTGAAGAGTGGAGGGAAGGGGAATCGGGGGGACGTGGGGAAGAAGGGGGGTGAAGCAGCGGTGTGGGGATAATAATAGGAACGGCCATCGCATCAACGTCGTTTGCAGATAGATAGCAAGGGTAGCAGGGGAAGGGGGGTTGAAGGGAGCAGGACCGGGATGGAGAGAGGGAAGAGGGTAAGGAGAAGGAGAGGGGCTTGTCAGACAGCAGACAGCTGGCGGCTTGTTTTCATGCTTCTGGCCATACCTATCGATCATGCTGACGCACCCCCCCTGCTTTCCTGCCGACTGCAGCGCCTGCCGCCACAGCAACAGGCAGAAGGGGGCTTCAATCAGTAGCAACCGCTCACAAGCCCCCTCCACCCCCCTCTTCCCCCTCCCCCCACTTGCTGGTCTGCTGGCTGCAGCACCTTCCACGCCACCGCAACAGGCAGCCAAGGAAGGGGGCTTCAAACAGCAAGAACCGCCACGTTTCGAGTGACTCTAAGCTCGCTAACACGCCCCCTCCACCCCCCTCTCCCCCCCCCCCCCTCCCCTGCTTCTCTGCCGGCTGCAGCGCCTTCCACACCAGAAGCGCCGCATTTTCAGCAGCAGGCAGCCAAACGGGGGAAGGGGGGGGCAGCGAACAGCAAGAAGCGCCGCGCTTCCAGTCGACGATAGAGTCGCTCACACCCCCCAACCCCCTGCTTCTCTGCCGGCTGCAGCGCCTTCCACTCCACCGCAGCAACAGGCAGCCAAACGTGAGAAGGGTGAGCGGGAGGGGGGGGGGGGAGAGGAGGACGGCGGGGATTTTGAACAGCGATAAGCACCGCGCATACAGTCGACAAAATTCTCGCTCACAGCCTCTCCCTCCCCCCCCCGTCCCCCACCTTCCTCTGCTTCCCTGCTTCTCTGCTTCCCTGGTCATTTTCTTCCAGGTACTCGTTTGTGTCGAAGCCAAGCTGGTGGAGAAGTCGGAGGAGCGGGACAGGCAGGCTGGTGTCGTGTCTGTACCGGCTGTGGCCTGTACCTGTAACCATATGCAGGCTGGTGGGTCAAACGAGTCAAACCTCTGCCTTTGCATCGGCCTGTACTTGGACAAATCAAACCACGGGAGCTGCTTGAATGCTCAGAGGCGGGGAAAGCGAGGAGGAGGTTCTGTTGGGAGGGAAGAGCACACGGAGGGAGGGAAGCAGGGAAAAGAGAGAGAGAACAGAGAGGGGAAGTGGGATAAGGAGAGTGAAAAAAAAAGGTTCTGAACCAGTCCTGCCCGTAAGCGACCATTCAATCCAACATCCCCAAACATACGCTATGAACCTGCTCCCCCCGAACCTGCACCCCCCGAACCTGCAAACCCGAACCTACCAGAGGTCCGGGTCTTCTAAACGAGCATGCCAGCCAGCTGTCACGTCCACAGAGGCCGAAACCCTTGATCTGTCATGATGCCACCCGGCATTTCAAAACCCCAAGGGCGGAATGGAGGGGGGAACGGAATAGGGTTTGCGGATTTAGAGGTCCCAGAAGAAATGAGGAAATGAGGAAATGAGAACACGACGATGAGGAATTAATCACCGTATTTCACCCCTAACAGGTCGATCAATATTCAATTGGGGGATAACGATGCATCATGCCAAAAATCACAACGCAAAATTCACTCCGAAGTCGAGGGATACCCCAAGGTCACCCTCACGATGGCTTCATATCAGGATAGCAATGGCCTGGCTGCTACGGTGCTACCTACCGAAGCTGATCGACCCGATAAGCTCTTCCTCACCGCGTCCAACTACTCGCAGGTCACTCACAAAGCACAGAAACGAATCACGGATTGCACTACAGCGGGGATATACACCTACTACCCCTGCCGGTCGATCCGAAGGAGATGTACTTGCGAGTGGCGGCGGGGCCAGCAGACTCGCCTGTAGCGCATCTTATTCCTCTTCGACGCGAAAATAAGAAATAACAAAATAGTACCCGGTCGATCCCGAAGGGAGATGGACACGCGGGTCGCGGCGGGGCCCAGCAGACTCGCACGCACCGCCTCCCACTCCTTCCAAAACGCACATGGCATGTGGCGCAGTGCCAACATCATTCTACCGTGTAACGACAATGCTATTGTAAAAGAATCCCGTTTCAACGAATGCTGTTGTTGTGTAATGATCTGCTTTGGGAATCGCGATGCTGGTAGCGGGTGACCGCAGGTAATCTAATTGAATCTGCTAAGAACTTCGTGTTAGAGTGGTTTCTACGAACCACACTAACGACGGCGAGAAACGCGGACCGACGGCGGACTTATGGCGGTGGCGTGTGGAGGAAGCAAGAAGAAATGACTAAGAAGTATCTAAGTGGCTTGGCGTGTGGTCTACGCTATGGGGAAAGGAGATGAAGTTATGGAAGAGACGGGAGTAAAGGAGAAGTGACGGGGGAGAAGAGGAAGAAAGGGTTTGACGGGGAGAAATGAGTGGGTCAAACATGGCGTGTTCAACAAGTTTCCGTTTTTCGGACTTGGGGGAGTTCGACGAAGTTGGGTTGGTTGCGTGTGCGACGCGACGTGAAACGTGGGCAAGGGTTTGCTTGTGAAACACGTTTGGGTTACCAATTTGTGTGCGTGCTTTGGTTAGGGTATAAATCTGTTTGTACTAGGCATTTGTTGTTAACACAATTGAAATTCCTTGGTTGGAATTTGTGTTCACTTGTGATTGGTCGAAACTTTCTAGTGCTGCAGAAAACTCCCGTCAAAGTTTCGTAAAGGTTGGGTTGAACCTAGTGATTCGGATTTCACCCGTGAAACTTCCGTCAAAGGCCCGTGAAGGCCTAGCAAAGTACCGAAGCTGCAGAATTCGGGTGTAGGGCCCGTTTGAGGTCCGTGAAGGTTCCGTGAAAGCCCCGTGAAGGGCGCGTGAAGCAGAAATCGAAACCAGGGCCCGTCAGGGTCGCGTAAAGGCCCCGCGAAGGCCTCGTCAAGGTCGCGTCAGCCTAGGGAGTGGCGTTTCGCGACCAACAGCTGGTATCAGAGCTGGTTTAAAACCCGCGTCTCATATTTTTTCTTTCCAACCAAGAGTAATACGTTTGAAACTGAGTAACCACTCAATCAGTCGCAAGTTTGGGGGTTCGGTTGGGAGCAATTGCGATTGGCTGCAGCCCCAACAGGTTGGGCAAGGCAGATGCACAATAACCTAACCGTGTTCGAGCGAAAACACCATCTTCTGCGACGATGATGGTAGAGAACCAGAGAAGCAAGCGTATTACCACAGCAGAAAAATATGAGACTCCAGAATCCAGATCGATGCAAATGAAGCTCTAGGGGAGAGGGACCTGCACACAATCATTTTTTTTAGTCCAGCCTGAGACTCCTTTCAACAACTTAGTTTAGGATATATTTTTCTCACAGCGATTCTTTTGCAGATCATAGGCAATGCCGTGTACGTTCTACCTTCAGTCGTATCTTGTCGCATTTCACGCAGCTCTGCGTACAGACGGACTGTCCATCGTTAGGGTAGATTGTACAGCTAATTGTTGCGCGAACCACATGAGGGAAAACGGCGAAATGGTAGAATAGAAGGAAGAGCATATCAATAGCATATCCGCGACTGGACGGGAAGGGACGCGAAGGGATTGGAAGGGACGGGTTTGGATGCGACGGGACGGGACATAACGGGACAGGAGGGGACGCATCTGGACACGACGGGACGGGACGGGAACGGGGGGGACTTGATGGAACGTGAGGGGACGCGGCAGGACCGGACGGACGGGACTGGACGGGACGGAAACGACGTGACGGGACGGGACGTGACGGGACAGAACATGACGGAACGCGATGGGACGGGACATGACGGAACGGGATGGGACGGGACATGACGGGACTAGATGGGACGGGACATGACGCGACAGTGCAGGAGGGGACGCGACGGTGGGGGAGGGGAGGCGACGGTGCGGGAGGGGACGCGACGGTGCGGAAAGGAGCAACCTTTGGGTGTTGAGAGCAGTGGTTGTGCATCTCAATGGTGCGACAGGCGAAGCAGCCGCACATCCCCCCCATCTCCCTTTTGTTTCCCTGCATCCCCCTTTCCCTTCCCTGCACCCTCTCCCTTCCCCCATCCCCCTTCCCTTCCCCCATCCCCCTTCCCTATCCCCCTCCGCCTTCCCTTCCCCCATCCCCCTTCTCTTTCCCCATCCCCCTTCCCTTCCCCCATCCCCCTTCCCTTCCCGCATCCTCCTTCCCTTTCCCCATCCTCCTTCCTTTAACCCATCCCCCTTCCCTTCCCGCATTCCCCTTTCCCTTTCCCCACCCCCCTTCCCTTCCCCCATCCCCCTTCTCTTCCCCCATCCCCCTTCCCTTCCCCCATCCCCCTTCCCTTCCCCCATCCCCCTTCCCTTCTCGCATCCCCTTTCCCTATCCCCGTCCGCCTTCCCTTCCCCCATCCCCTTTTCCCTTCCCCACACCTTTCTTTCCCTTCCCGCATCCCCCATTCCCCCTATCCCTCATCCCTTCCACCTTTTTGCCCCGCTTTCACACACTATGCCGCCAATCAATCACTTTCCCCCTTCCTCCCTGCCTTCTTTCTTTCCCCATGCCATGCCTCCCCTCGGGTTCCTCCCATGGCTCCCCTCGGTTTCCTTTCGTCCCTCACCTCGCTTTCCTCCCATGCCTCCCCTCGCTTTCCTCCCATGCCTCGCCTCACCTCTGTTTCCCCACTTGTCTCCCCTCGGCTTCCCCCCTTTCCCCCCACCTGTTGATGTGCTTGTTTCAGCATGGCGCCACAAAGAACCAGTTCATCCTCCAGTTCTCTTTTTACTTTGCGTAGATTCAAAACTCAGTTGTTATCAAACTCTCCTAGTCTCTTGTCTTTCAATAGCATATTACATTTGATACGCAGATTGCTTCAATGCATCCATATTTGAAGTAGCAATTGTGCACAGCACTGACATAAAGAACTTATTGAATGTATATACTTGTGTAATATCTTGAAGATACGGGGTGCAGCTTTCCTCCAGCACCGGTTTCGCCATCGTGCATCTGGCCGTGCATCTGCTGCTTGCCTGTCCCTTCCGTTTCGCCAGGCTCGCATGGGACTAGCTTAGTCCTGCTTGTAACTGGAACAAAGGTAGGGGTGACGGGAGGAAGGAAGGCTCCAGGGATTCAAAGAAGGGCAGGTAAAAAGGGGGGACGGAGAGAACAAAAGAGGATAGAGGGTAGGAGAGGGGAGAGAGGGAAGGGGGGGCGGGAGTAGAAGAGGACATGCTGAGGAAGCAGAGCGGAGATAATTTGAGGGCACTCACGAGGGCACGTAGTAGGGCACACAGATGGGGAGACAGTCGGGGAAGGGTATAGTGGGAGGAAGGGGCACTGCAGGCTGCTGGTGTGCGTGGGCACGTGATGCCCTCCCTCATACGCCCACCCTTACTCTCACCCTTGCCCATCTCTAGGTTACACACCCTCATGACCACTTCCTACCCCACGCACCCCCGACTCTCCCCCCAACCCCACCACCCCCGCACTCTGTTCCCCGACATACCTGCAGCATAGAGACAGAGTCAGTGGCAGACAAGATCACGCCCAGCGTGGCACACAGGTGGTGGGGGGAGGAGGACGAGGAACGGCGGGCAGAGAGGAGGTTGAGGGGAGGAGGGAGAAGAGGGAAGAGAGGGGGGTAGGTGAGGGGGGAAGAGAAGGTGGGGAGGTGAGATGAGGAGATGGGGAGGTGGGATGAGGAGACGGGGAGGTGGGATGAGGAGATGGGGAGGTGGGATGAGGAGACGAGGTAAGACGAGTAGATGGGGAGGTGGGATGAGGAGACGGGGAGGTGGGATGAGGAGACGGGGAGGTGGGATGAGAAGATGGGGAGGTGGGATGAGGAGATGGGGAGGTGGGACGAGAAGGAAAGAAGAAGGGCGAGAAGGAAAGAAGAAGGGCGAGAAGGAAAGAAGAAGGGCGAGAAGGAAAGAAGAAGGGCGAGAAGGAAAGAAGAAGGGCGAGAAGGAAAGAAGAAGGGCGAGAAGGAAAGAAGAAGGGCGAGAAGGAAAGAAGAAGGGCGAGAAGGAAAGAAGAAGGGCGAGAAGGAAAGAAGAAGGGCGAGAAGGAAAGAAGAAGGGCGAGAAGGAAAGAAGAAGGGCGAGAAGGAAAGAAGAAGGGCGAGAAGGAAAGAAGAAGGGCGAGAAGGAAAGAAGAAGGGCGAGAAGGAAAGAAGAAGGGCGAGAAGGAAAGAAGAAGGGCGAGAAGGAAAGAAGAAGGGCGAGAAGGAAAGAAGAAGGGCGAGAAGGAAAGAAGAAGGGCGAGAAGGAAAGGGCTCTCCACACTCATGGCCGCCACCACAGCACTCAACCTCCCCACCTCCCACTCCCACTCCCCCTCCCCTCTCTCACCATAGCCCACACCCACACCCTCCTCACCTTCCCCTGCTTACATACACCTCAGCTTCGGGGAGGGGGGAGCAATCACAGCACAAGGAACATGGAGAAGGTTCTTGGAAGGGGAGGAGGAGACGGGGAAGGGGAGAGAGGGAGGGAGGAGAGAGGGAAGGGGAGAGAGGGAAGGGGAGAGAGGGAAGGGGAGAGAGGGAAGGGGAGAGAGGGAAGGGGAGGGAAAAAACAGGTGTCAGGTGTCCCCGTAAAAAGGATGTGTGTTGTGTCTCGAGGCATAGATGGCAGTTGGGGGAACGGGAGGTGTGAGCACCGGGATTTGATAGCTGCGGGACGTGTGGCATAATGACATGCGAATTTCTATGCACATGCACTCACGCAGATGAATACATACAGGTGCACACCCGCACGCACGCACGCACGCGCAAGCACGCACCCACGCACGCACGCACGCACGCACGCATGCACACACGCAAGCGCATGCACGCACGCACGCATTCACGCGTACGCGCACGCACGCACGCACGCGTACGCGCACGCACACGCGCACACGCACGCACGCACGCACGCATGCGCGCGCACGTACACACGCCCGCACGCACGCACACCCGCACGCACGCAAGTGCACGCACCCCACACACATGCCACTCGCACACAGACCCAGGACGGCAACTCCTTTCACGTAATCGCGCTTAGCGTAAATTGACGACCCGTGCGCATTCTGATATGCGACATCACCTATTCCAAACGCATTGCGGCGATTCCTTACTCGCCAATTAGTGCGTTATCCGCAACCAAACTTGTTCGCAAGTCACCTGTTATCTGGTCCGAAATGCGAGCTAATAGACAGCTATATCCCTGTTTCTGTGCTCGGGTCAGCATCTTGCTCGCGGAGGCACATACCTAGGAACCATACTAAGCGGAAGTAGTAAGAATGACGGCTGAGAGTTTTGCTCTGCTTTTCCTGGTGAAGGTGGGCGAATTGTGTCTTGTCGTTTCAATTGGTCGCATGGAAGTGCGATTCTGCCGGAGGTGTTTTCTAGGTGTGGTAGATGTCCACGCCTGAGGGGCTCGTTTGGATTTTGCCTAGACGAACTGAGGTTTCGTCTGTGTTTTTCAAACTGCTCGTCACAAATCTCGCCTATCGTTACCCAATCACAGACGCTTTAGCCCAACCAACTGTAATACACTAGAAAATATGAGACGCGGGTTTTAAGTGGCGTTTCAGCATTCTTAAGTGCAGAGCGAAGCTTTCGAGATAGTCGGCGGACAATCGGAAGCTAGTTCGGGCTCCTCTGTGAGTATTGGAGATCCCCAAGTGAAGGCACTTCTGGAAATGCTGGCGCAAGGAGGGGTGGTGACGAAGCCCACCATGGGGCTCAGTGAAGCCCAACGATTCCACGGACAACACTACAGCACGTGGCAAACATTGCAAACATCGCCGACGTGAGGAAGAAGTTGCTGTTGATGACTATGGAGCCGAACCAGAAGATTATTGACTATGTCAACATGGCGAGGAGCTACAACGACAACTTAACTGCGATGGGCGAGCCGGAAACCGAGCGGGCGATGATAGGGCACATCGTCAACGGACTTCCGGAGGATTGGGCGGGTGAGCGACCGGCGTTTATCTGCCACCCACCGGAGAATATGACAAATCTTATTGCCATTCTTCAGGCGTTGGAGCGAGCAAGAGAGCATCAGAAGCGACGGGAGAAGTTTACAAGGGGCTTTGTGGAGGAGAAGCCTGCGTTGGTGAATGCGGCAGCCGCTGGAAGGAGCTCGGGAGCATGCTACCAGTGTGGAAAAAAGGGACACCGTGCGTTTGAGTGCGCGGAGAGCCCGAGGAGCAGAAACTACAAGGGGAACGGTGCGGGATGGAGTGGCGTGCAGCAGAACGGAAGGTTTTATGGTGCGTGCCATCATTGCAAGAAAATTGGACATCGTGCGATTGATTGCTACTCAAATCCCAACAGCCGCAACTACAAAGGACCGTTGCAGCAGCAGCCGAACGTGGAGGCCAAGGCTAACGTGGCGGAAGCGGAGGAGGAAAAGGACGATGGGATTTTGGGGGGAACACATCATGCGAACGTGGTGCGAGTGCCAAAGGTAAATGAGTCAACGAATGGTGGTAAGAATTTGACGTGGCTCTTGGACAGCGGATGCACACGTCATATGACTTTCAGGTCGGACTTGGTGAAGAATATGAGAGAGTCTAGTGAGAATTATACTCTGCAAGGTAACAACGGAAAATTGCCGGTTATGGGAGAAGGTGAAGTGGTGCTACATGGTCCTGATGGAGGATTGGAGTTGGAGAACGTGCTACTTGTGGAGGACTTAAAGGTAAACCTCATTAGTCAGTCACAACTCGACGACAAGGGGTGCAAGGTATTCTACGATGAAGGGAAGGTTTTTGTGTTTGGTTCTGAGTGGGAGAGATACGCGGATGGTGTTTTCAATGATGGGTTCTATGAGATGAACCTCTTAGCATGCAACGATATGGATTCGGTTTTTGAGGATAACGAGTTCTATAAGGTGGAAGTGAAAGGGAGTTCATTCCTTGAGGTTGGTAAGGTTGCTGACCAGGGAGATGTGACTTCTTGTGTGAAGAAGGATGTGGTGAAGGATGTGGAGGATGTGTTGATCAAGGAGAAGGATGTGCGTGTGGAGAAAACGGTGAAGCCGAACGAGGTGATACGTATCAACAACGCAGCAACGATCATAATTGAAGATGAAGCTGCAAGTGTGGAGCGTGTTGGAATTGAAGCTGCAAAAGGAAACTTCGTGGTGAAGGAAATGGTGACAAACGCAGCTACAACGGAGGGACTACCTACGGAGGGAGCTCGAGTTGGTGGCAACAACGTTCAGAAAGTGTATGATGTGCAGCGGCCAAGGAGGAGTGCGAGGCTTGAGAGCATTTATCGCGGATTGGATGTCAAGGCGGTCAATCTCAAGACACGTAAGCAGCGCTTTAAGATGCAGGAGTTGCAGGGGAGCGTGAATCTGACTTAGTCATCATGAGGACGACAAAGGAGCAGGGGAGATGCGGGTGAAGGTGTGGTTCACGAAACCACAGGGGAGGTTGTTAGAGTGGTTTCTACGAACCACACTAACGACGGCGAGAAACGCGGACCGACGGCGGACTTATGGCGGTGGCGTGTGGAGGAAGCAAGAAGAAATGACTAAGAAGTATCTAAGTGGCTTGGCGTGTGGTCTACGCTAAGGGGAAAGGAGATGAAGTTATGGAAGAGACGGGAGTAAAGGAGAAGTGGCGGGGGAGAAGAGGAAGAAAGGGTTTGACGGGGAGAAATGAGTGGGTCAAACATGACGTGTTCAACAAGTTTCCGTTTTTCGGACTTGGGGGAGTTCGACGAAGTTGGGTTGGTTGCGTGTGCGACGCGACGTGAAACGTGGGCAAGGGTTTGCTTGTGAAACACGTTTGGGTTACCAATTTGTGTGTGTGCTTTGGTTAGGGTATAAATCTGTTTGTACTAGGCATTTGTTGTTAACACAATTGAAATTCCTTGGTTGGAATTTGTGTTCACTTGTGATTGGTCGAAACTTTCTAGTGCTGCAGAAAACTCCCGTCAAAGTTTCGTAAAGGTTGGGTTGAACCTAGTGATTCGGATTTCACCCGTGAAACTTCCGTCAAAGGCCCGTGAAGGCCTAGCAAAGTACCGAAGCTGCAGAATTCGGGTGTAGGGCCCGTTTGAGGCCCGTGAAGGTTCCGTGAAAGCCCCGTGAAGGGCGCGTGAAGCAGAAATCGAAACCAGGGCCTGTCAGGGTCGCGTAAAGGCCCCGCGAAGGCCTCGTCAAGGTCGCGTCAGCCTAGGGAGTGGCGTTTCGCGACCAACACTTCGGAGTCACATGGACTTGCACCAGGAAAAGACAGCAGAAGCAGCGATCTGGCCTAATATCATTTTGTAGGGAAATCGTGCTCCTCGTGGCATTCCAGCTCCTGAAAAGCTGTTACCTCGCAAATGAGTGTTTGCGACGCTATTTTTGCGAGTTGACAAAGACTTTCGAGGACATAGCGAGAGGTCGCGAAGCAGGTAACCCTTGTTCGTATTTCGTTAGGGAGGGGGATCTAGGCAAGGTGATCTCGGACGGATGTCGGGACCCAGATAGCATGGCAACAACCCGCGTTTCATATTCGGCTCACTCACCGCGCTGCATCAATCTGTTGCGCTAGTCAACCGCACTCGACCTTCCGCAAATCTCTTCACATTCAAATCTCCCTCCCTTGTGCCGAATTTGTCAATTCTCCCGTGGCCTGTCCAAACCCCATTCGCTCCGACCAACCACTCTGGGTGTCCTCACCTCGACTCATCCAAACCAACCCAGCCCAACCGAACCAAATAACTCAGCACAACCCATAGCTGCAAACCCTGCTCCAACCACCAGCCGTCCCTCAGTATTGGTGCCTCTCGGTACAGTAGTGGCGCCTCTAGGTAGTTAGTGCTGGCTCTAGGTAGCGGTGCCTCTTGGTAAGGGCGAATGACTGCCAAGCCACGTCTGCATGTTGTTCGCGTTGCCGTCGCGTGCATTCCATTCGTCCATACTGCTGCTGTAGCAACAGCCGTTCATAGGCTTGTTTTGTCCTATCACTCTCACCTGGCAATTCCATTTAGCGCACGCGCATCGCTCTCATTTACGAACCAGCAGTGAGTGAGTCAGTATGTTGTGTGGACAGCAATCGGCGCGATATCGCATAGCACGTGCTGTGGGTGACTTCCAACGTGGAAATTGCCCCGTCAAACACTCATTGGGCGAATGCATACCGAGCACTCACCTCGACGACAAGCCACCGCCATCTAATTCTTGAAAGCTCAGTGGTATCGCCTAAATTCATTCCCTTACCTTGCTGGAAACCCATCTCACGTTTAGTAGTAGGCTTCGGTTCGCGGGAACAATTTTCGAAACATAGTCTCATAGTCGTACTCACGCGCCTATTCATACATGGCGGACGTAGATTACCCTCGAGTCGCGCGTTCCCTCGTCGTTCCTCACTACGCGCTGCGCGCTCACGTTAGTACCACAGCGTGCCTCCTCCTGCTACTCCTCTACTGCTCACCGACGACGGCTTTCCGCCCCATATCGAGGCAGATCATATCGAAGCTGCCTGCTGCTCGCCGCGGATCCTCCGCGCGGATGGTTCCGCCTCGCGTGGCGCAGATTCTCGCCGCGCGGCGGGCGGAGAGAGCATCCGCGGGGGGACGCAGAGGCGGGTACAGCCGGTCAGCGAGTTCAGCGTTGCGCGCATCCTCCGGAGCTGCGCC